CTGAAGTGACTGGGTCATATAGGAATCTCATATCAGCAGGAAAATGGTGAATTAACAACTTCTAAATCATTCTTATAGGATACTGTCTTACTATTTTATCCTTGACTCCCAACAACCCTTTATAGAACTTAACAGCCTCTTGCCCAATCTCCTCAACATTAGTAATCACCCTCCCATCATCAGAAACTAGTTTCTTAATAGTGTTTTTGTTATTTATTTACTTAATACCCATAGATGCCTTGACTTCAGCGTAAGAAACTTCTCCCCAGCTCGCTGCAACTCAAGCATCTGGAACTTACACCCCTGCTCATTCTCAAATGCTTTAGGGTTAGACGTTCCAGGGCTTCCGGTTGAGCTACTGCTACGGAAGGCTTAGCAACAACTCATAAGTGTTTGTTTTCAAATGGAATATAATTTTGGCAAAATACACTTGTATAGCCAAAACTTTCGCATTTGTCCCAATAATAGCCAAATTTTAAGAAATACCACTTATAGCCACTTCCGTCTAATTGTTTCACGGTGTTAACGTTAAGTGTGACTGGACAAACGAAGATGCTTATGTGGCGAGCTCTTATTTCCCTTTTACTCTGTAATTGTCCACGTGGATAATGATTAACTAGAAAAAAATTAACTGACCATAAATAAATAAAAATCCCTCAAATTGGAAATGAAGTAAATGACTTATTTCCCTTTTTCTTCTCTACAAAATTGAATTAAAAACCCCTCAAATTGGAAATCGGGGGTTTGGGGAAGAGGATTTGCGCCGGTCCAGTAGTCGGGTTTGCCCTCCCGTCGCAGCAGCTTCCCTTCCTCGTTCTCGCTCCCCGGCGGCTGAACTCGCACGACATGTCGTCGAAGGAGAAGCTTCTGGAGGAGTAGCAGAAGCTCTCCGTCTTGTCGACGAGGTCTTCTCCTTCTTCCTCCTCCTTCTCGTCGCAATGCGACACCATATTTTTGCACCCCTTTTTCAATTTAGGGTTCAAAGATTCCAGGTTCGGGTCTCGCCGCCGCCTCCCGACCGTCATCGGGGAGGGAGAGGAAAAGCTTCTGGCAGGTTTGAAGGTCGTAAGCGGCAAGTCAATTTTTCAGCTCCCATTACCCAAACTCAAACGATTGACAGATTAGGGATTTCTAGGAACTAAGGTTAGAGTTCACAGATGGGGATTTCAAAATCCTACACCGGCAAGCCCTTTAAAATGGTCGTCCATCGTCGTCAAGCAAAGACATCTCGTTCTTCTTCTAGCCGACAGTGAAAGGATGTCAAAATATTGTGCAAATCTAACAGGTAGCATCAATCTCCACCTCTGGGTTTTGTTCATTGTCGGATATGGGTTGAGAATCTGAGCTTCTCGCATACTGGGAAGTGTTCGCTATTGTCAATAATGGTGGTCGGGCATCGTCAATGGTGAGTTTTATCAACGAGAAATATGAAGAATGGAGGGGCTTTAGGGTAGAGGATTCGCCGCTGAGGATTTGGGGCTTTGGGAAAAAATTGGGGAAGATGGGTGGTGCAAATCAGATGAGATATGTGAGTGTAATTTTTGTTTTAATTTATGATGTGTAAATATTAAATAACTAAAATATCTGACGTGTCATTATTTGCTTATGTGGCGCCGTCGTGTCCGTTGAGTTGGCACCTAGTCAGCAAACCGTTAAATAAGTTGATGGTGTTAATAACACCGTTAAAGTATCTAATGGAAATGGCTATATTTGTCAAACAACAACTTTCAAAGCTGGCTATAAGTGGTATTTCCCCAAATTTGGCTATTATTGGCAGAAATGCGAAAGTTTTGGCTATACAAGTGCATTTTGCCTATAATTTTTTTGAATTTATGCAAACCACCTAATTCACCCAACTATCTAATTGTGCATATCTACATGGATATGAGTCATATTTAAATTCATCCACTTCTTTTTGCGTATGTAATTGTTTTACCTAAAAGCTAAAACTCCAACCAAATGCCCATTAATTAATAGTTTTTTTAAACAAAAGATAATCATATTGATTGATTGAGAGATCAAAATTACACCCTGAAACCAACTCAAGACTGAATATCATACAATCGACACGAAGTCAGAGGCAAAGAAAGGGCCTTCCGAGCCACGAGAAAGGGCTACCCTATTGCTAATCTTACCTACAAATCGAACATGAAAACCACTATTCAGAGTCGTCATACGCAGAATTTTTTCGATATGGCCCCAACACGGTTGTCTCACGCATCCTTGGAATTAATCTTGTCAATTAGCACCTTAGCATAACCTTCAAATCGAACTTGATCAAGGCCAAGGTCCTCACGACCAGTGCAGCCTTTATACAGCGAGTCCGGGCATGGATAAATGTCGTGCAGAATGCCTTGGACAAAGACAGGTTAATCCATCAACCTAGTCTGCCCACAAGAACGGAGGTGGAGATCTCTTGGAAGCCGCCACCTCCCGAGTGGGTCACTCCCAACTCTGACGGCTCAGTTCACACTAATTCAGGTCACGCAGCTGTGGGTGGCCTAATTCGGGATCACACAGGACGTTGCCTGGCAGCGTACGCGATTAACCTGGGGAATTGCTCTATTACCCGGGCTGAGTTGAGAGGTGTTGTAGAAGGGCTGCAGCTGGCTTGGGACACTGGTTTCAGACGTGTCAGAGTGGAGCTTGATTCTCTTTGTGTAGTTCAACTCCTTGGGAATTTGGACGAGTCAGATCATCAGCAGGCAGCCATTATCCAGAGATTCAAAGAGCTGCTCACTCATCAATGGGAAGTTGTTGTTTCCCACATTTTTAGAGAAGGAAATAAATGTGCCGATCACCTAGCTAGTCGTGGGCATTTGTTGCCCCTTGGTTATCATTTCATCCCCTGTTCTGACCCCACTCTGTGTATTTTTCATTATGTACGATTGTCAGGGGCTCTCTGAACCCCGTTTAGGTTTGAATGAAGGCTGAGATGCACTGCATCCATTTATAAAAAAAATATTACTGGTTGCAACAATATTACTGTGACTAAAAATTAATTTCGATCAAGCAGCATAGTGAAACAAGACTCGGTCACTGGACTTCTTGGCCCATATGAGTTTAGTTTCTCAAACGGCCCAACTGGGCTGGGCTCCCCTATCTGACATCATGGTAACATTGTGGGATGACGTGTATATCTCTATGCAACTGTCATTAATTAACTCAGCAGTAGCACTCACTATAAAGTCTAAAGTAGAAGTTACTAGTAAAATATATTTGTAGTGAGTGATATCACATATCAGTTGTAAACTTGTAATAAATTATTATAAACTACGTAAGGTAAATTGGTTACACTTTGATGGTGCAACATAAAAGTGTTGACCCATATGAGCTGCTTCTTCAACTGGGCAAACTTCTTTTTGTTTTTTCTCTCTTTCGCAAAACAAGATATATCGTTATATAAACTTGAATTTGACCAAATTATATTGGTCCATATACAGACTCGGATGCGTTTATTTTCGTGCAAAAAAAAAATTCTTCCTAATTCAAAAGTTTCTGTAGCCAAGCCGCGTAGGGTACAGCCGGTCATACTCAAAACTCAAAAGGATGGGTTTCATATATTAGTAGTCACTAAACTTCAACAATACTAGCACATAGGTCATTGAACTTTCCTTTCAATGATTTTGTCACTCAAGTATAGCCTAACGTAATTGTCACTTTCTTCACCTAGATCAAGTTTTTGGTCTCGATCATCTAGTTGGTTTCAATAATTTGAGTTGTTGGTAGAAATTTGATTTTAATGTCATTCATTTACGCACCTCCACAAGCTAAAGGCAAGCGCATTGGTAAAGGCAGGATTTTAACCTTTGTCATTGAACATAGGTAAATTTTGGTAAAAATATTATGTTTGCGAGAGATTGAACTCACAATTTTAAGGTGACATAATGTTATCTTGTCACTAGAAAAAACTCAATTCTTGTTATATATGTTAAATACTAATTTTTTTTATATATATATTTTGAAAAAAGTGATATACCTAATTTCATGTCATGTTTTGCCATTGGGCAAGCGGACTTGATCCTTGCATAGACTCTTCATCGTACCTTTACAATTTGTGCATCAATTAACATTTGCGTTATTAAGACTCGACAACCGAAGGTTCCAATATCATGTAAAAAATAAACTAATGCTACTTGATACTTAGGCCCTGTTCACTTCCATTTTCGTTTCCTGTTTTCTGTTTTCATGTCATAAATTTGGCAACCAAAACGAGAAAACTTGTTTACTTTTCATTCTGTTTTCTATTCGTTTCCAACTATGAAAACAGAAAGTGGCAACTTCCTGCTGTTTTCGGAAACGACAAAATGTTGTTTTCACCCGTTTTCAACATCTGTTTTCTCAAAAACAGGAAACAGAAATAAAAGTAAACAGGGCCTTAAATTATTCATTTAGCCAAATTACTAAAAACTAGGCAAGAAAGTAACTAAAAATGTATAGCTCAGTATGGTTTGAAATAATATCAAGGAAAACTCTTTTCATATTAATTTGTGTGATTTACACAAATTAGACTATGACGATTAGATTATTTGGATGAACATTTTGAAACAAAATGAATCCTAACCTATTTCAGATCAAGATATTGTTCGTTTTGAACCTACATCCTCACGAATTTTGTCTTGAGATGCATATCAAAGTGACTTCTAATAAGGCCACTCATTCTTGTATTGCTCCATCATGAGTACATTTAACTTTGGTTCTCACAAGAACTTATTCATTTCATCTCAAAACGCATCTTGTCAGTTACGGTCGGCTTCTTACTTATTAACCATGCATCTCTTTCGTACTTTGTCGATGTAGGATTCGCCTAAAGTGTTACAATAACTATCTTATTAGCTAGTCCAAACTTTAATGGCATATCCGTAACGCTTTAAACATTGAGGACCGATTTGTTGGTCGTTAGAAATATTTGCCGATCTGGTTCACAAAGTTTAACGACGACTACCCTCGAGAAAAGATCCAAAGAACGGCATAACGATCCACACCCCAAAAGAACAGGAGGAAGAAATTCTTCTATCAGACAAAAAGAAAAAGGAAAAGGGCGACAAAAATCAGAAAACAAACCATTTTTGGGTGGGCAGTAGGAAGCAAAGACCCGGGCAGCCAGCCAGCCACCAGTGTTCATCATCTTCTCCTTCTTCTTCTTCTTTCTCTTTACCCCCCGATCCCCTCGAAGAATTTCTCTCTCTCTCTCTCTGCCTGCGCAGCAACTAAACTGAAATAAGTAACATCTTTGAAGAATTTAAGGAAAGTGTTCGTTCCCATCAGAAGCCAACGAAAAGTGACACCAAAGGTGAGAGCTTTTCTTTATTCTGTTTATCTCAGTTCTTCCTTCCATCCATCCATCCAGCTTTCAGTTTTCTATATTTGATCTGTTACTTCGTACTCTCCGTACACACCCTCTTCCTTTTCTCTCTCTCTCTCTCTATGATTGACCGACCCACTTTGCTCAATTCTCTTCTTTCAATCTCAGCATCAAGTGCTTCAACTAGGAAAGAATACCCTTTTCAATTCCAGATCTTCATTTGGTAAAATTGAGAATTTCTGCTGCTTGTTTGTTTGGTCTCCTTAGTTTTGCTTCTGCATTTGTTTACCCATCTTGATCTATTGAATAGTTAGGAACTGGAATACTAACAAAGTTTTTATCTTTGATTTGGAGCTGCTACTGGGCTACCCTGCGTTTTTGAAACTGCTTCAAGTTCTCTGTGTTTCTCTGTTTTTCTCCAAGTTTTGATCGAATTTATCTGTTCTTGAGCGAAAATTATATTAACATGGAAGTTCCTTCTTCCCCCCTTTTTGTTGCTTTTTTCCAGACTTGGTTCCTCTCTAATTTGGCTTGCAATCTGAGTGAAGTCGGGATTGAGCTTCAAACTAAAGCCGGTTTTATGTAGAGGAATCCTGCACAGCGGGAATTTGCTAAAACCCTAATTCTCTAGTAAGTCATTTGGTGAGCTGTGAGAAAATTTTCTGGCCAATGGAGGCTGCAGCATTTGATGCCGGGGTTCAACAACCAGAAGGAGAGGAGAACTTAATCGAAGCTGCGAAGCAAATTGTGAAGGCTTTAGGGTCGGGAAAGAATCTCACGGATGATGCAAGGAAAATTTTGGCTGACCTGGGCACCCAATTGTCCACCATAAACATAATCAGTGAGGACAAGGACGGCGACATAGGCGAGCTCGAGGCACAGTTGGATGCAATTCAGGAGAAGATTGCGAATTGGGAGGCTGACCCGTCTATGATATGGGATTCAGGTCCCGATGAAGCTGGTGAGTATATGAATGCCACTCTAGAAGCCCAAAGATTGATTGAAAGATTGGAGAATTTTTGCCCTGGTGGTGGTGGTGGAGATGATGCTGGTCGAAGGGATTTGCTACGCAGGGGGCACGATGTGCTTCAAATGGCAATGGCAAGGCTCGAGCAGGAGTTTACACACTTGCTTGTACAAAACCAGCTACCATTTGAGCGAGACAATGTAGCATCTTTCCGTTCAAGTGAAGATGATGGTCTCGATTTCAACTCGTTTGTCTCCACTGGTGATGATCTTGAGGACCCGAGTAATCGAGATAGCAGCGTCAGCAGGAGCTGGGAGGAACTCACCATTGATATGGTACACCCTGATGCTATCCCAGACCTTAGAGATATTGCTGAGTTGATGTTTGCTTCCGGTTATGGTCACGAATGTTCACAAGCATATATCACTGTTAGAAGAGATGCCTTGGATGAGTGCCTGTTCATTCTCGAAATGGAGAAACTGAGCATCGAGGATGTACTGAAATTGGAATGGGGGAGCCTTAATTCCAAGATTAAAAAGTGGATCCGAGCTTTGAAACAGTTTGTCCGAGTCTATCTTGCCAGCGAGAGTTTCCTCAGCGAGCAGATCTTTGGACAGCTCGAGCAATCATCATGGTCAGTTTGTTTCATCGAGGCGTCAAAGGGATCAATGCTGCAGCTGTTGAACTTTGGGGAAGCCATATCTATTGGTCCTCACAAACCAGAGAAGCTCTTCCCTATCCTCGACATGTACGAGACCATTTCAGGTATGATTCCCGACCTAGATTCTCTATATGCAAGTGGAGCTGGTTCGTGTGTTAGAATCGATTGCCACGAGCTTCAGAGAAGGTTAGGTGATTCAGTTAGGGCAGCATTTTTGGAATTTGAGAATGCCATCGCGACGAGCACTTCAACAATAGCTTTCGCTGGAGGAGGGATCCACCATTTGACACGCTATGTTATGAATTACCTCAATACACTCACTGACTACCAGGAATCGTTGAATTACCTCCTGAAAGACCACGATAGACAGAATGCTGTTGTTATGTCGCCTGATCTATCTCCGTCAACAAGGCAAGAAGACGATGCCAGCGGGGAACCTGCTGCAGACGATTACGCCACCATGGCTCTACACTTCAGGTCGGTCACCTCGATCCTGGAGTGCAATCTTGACGACAAGTCAAGGCTGTACAGGGATCCATCCTTGCAGCATGTATTCATGATGAACAATGTCCACTACATGGCACAGAAGGTGAAGAATTCAGCAGCATTAAGGCACGTGTTCAAGGACGAGTGGATCAGAAAGCGCAACTGGAAGTTCCAGCAGCACGCAATGAGCTATGAGAGAGCCACGTGGAGCTCCGTGCTGTCCTTGTTGAAAGACGAAGGCAACTCCCATCCGGGATCGGTCTCTAAAGCTCAACTCAGGGACCGGCTGAAGAACTTCTACGTGGCGTTCGAGGACGTTTACAGGACGCAGACATCATGGATCATCCCCGACGCTCAGCTACGCGAGGACCTACGAATCTCGACCTCGCTCAAGGTCATCCAAGCTTACCGAATGTTCATCGGGAGGCACACGAACAACATCGGTGATAGGCATGTTAGGTATAGTGCTGACGATTTGCAGAATTATTTGCTGGATCTGTATGAAGGGTCTCAGAAGTCATTGCACAATCCTCACCGTAGATGATGATGATTATTATTATTATGATAGTAAAGGGTATTTGTATTAGTATTCGTTAATCCAGCTACAGATCATTAGGCTTTTCTTTAATCATATACATGTGTAGTTATGTGCATCATGGAAGTTGTATTTTCTGCATCAATAATTATGAGATATATGATGGGGTTCGAAGTTCAAACGTATGAAGTTGGTCAATTTTGGATTGCTTTGACGAGCTTTCAATATTGAATGGTCGTGTTCCATATACAGAGCATCATTGACGAGCCAATCAATCATTGTACAATCAAGAAAGGGTACGCAGAAAACGGGTCAACGTGTTTGTGGAAATTAAGACAAATTTTTGTATTCTATAACATTCAAATAATCGTTCATTGGATGCTCATGCACCCGCCTTCTTCCTGGAACTCAAGAGTCTGAAATGCTCCAGGGCAGAGATCCCATTAAGCCCTTTAGCATAGTAATGTTCAATGAATTCCTTCAGGGCAGTCTCCCTGTAAACCGGGGGATTCTCATCCGATATCAGCTCCTTGAGCGGGCCATAAACTCGGGAGGAGTTCTCAGGAAGCCGCTGCGGTCTCAAGAAACAGGCTATTGAAATCCTGGGGCCTATTGATTTAGCAACTACTCTGTGTTGAGAGCTTTTGAATTCCTCGTTACGATCAACTGCATGTTCCATTGCCAAAGATTTGAGTATGAAAACCAGCTAGTTTTATAGCAAAACTTGGAAACATGCACGGTCCAGTTTTTACCTGCATCAAGTCTCCCAGATTTATAACAAGAGCATTTGCTGTGGCCCTGTGGGCTTCAGTTCAACCCACTGATCATCATAAAAGACCTGAAGACCGCCAATTTGGTCTTGGAGAAGCACAGTGAGAAAGCTGCTGTCAGAATGGCTGCTAGTTCCTATTGTCAAATCCGGTTCTGGACAAGCCGGGTAGAAATGACCCAGAAGCAGCAAACCTTCCAAGCAACCTATATTGTTAAGGTAATCGGAGTTCAATCCCAATGCTTCAGAAACCAATTCAAGCAGCTTCCTTGCCAATCCCATCACTTCATTCGAATAATCAACCATCACCTCCCTGTTACAAAACAAAATATTGATTAGAAATAGCAAGATATGATGTAATTGAGTTATAACCTATGTAGTTAAAAACTTAAAAACATATGATTTTACGTAGTTAAAAACTTATGTAGTTAAAAACTCCGCTTTAAAACTTAAAAACATACGATTTTACGTTTCCAGATCACCAAAACGTTTCTACATAAAAACTAGCTTTTGACTACATTGGCTGTGGGTATCCCATGATTAACCACATGGAAACCCCCACATCTCCGGCACGCGTCTCTTACTTGGCCGATCACCCGGCGGCGCGCATTTGGGTCTCCGTCGATAGCTTGCAAGTCAACGGTCGCCATGGCCGGCAGCTCCAGCCCAGGGTCTCCCGAAGATGATATGACATATGGTGTTCAATTTATAAATTTATTTAGAGCTTAATTTATGATTTCAACCATTTAGACTTATAATGAGTCGAGCTCGGGAATTTATTGATTAGGCGAGCTCCCGTGGAGCTCATGAGCTCCTTCATGAGCCAAGATCGAGCTCAGCTCGTTCCTTAACGAGCCAAGTTTAACCTTAGGCTAAATTCGGCCCAGCTCGACTCGTTAAGAATCAGGCCGAGCTCAAACTTAACAAAACTCAACTAGACTCGACTCATCTACAATTCTAACGAGTGGGTTTCCCCGAACCACATACTGATTAATTTTGATATAACATATTATATTGCCGCATAAATTTATTATTCGGATTATTACAATTTTAGAACTGTGATTCATATACATAAAAACGGCCCCACTCAAACCCTTTGCCATCCCTAATATTCATTGTCAGCAGTTGGTAGTACCACTTACCACGTCGTGGTCAATGTGCATATGCAATTCATGGACGGCGGGACCAAATTCTAAAAGAATAAGACAAATTTGCTGGCCTCCCATCCCCTACCAGCGCCAAAAAAGCGAGATTTTTCCAATAATAGCACCTTTAAAAAAAAATTACAAAACTAGCACCCTGTAAAAAATATTTACAAAACTAGCACCCTTTTATATTGACCGCACCCTCCAGGTGCGATTTACACATAAACCGCATCCCCCAGGTGCGTTTTACACATAAATCGCACCTTGAGAGTGCGATCTAATTTGGTGGGCCTAAATCGCACCTTGCCCATGCGTTTTCATGTCTGGCCTACTTGAAACGCATGGCCGAGGTGCGGTTTAGGCCTGACCTACCTAAACCGCACCTTGGTGATGCGATTTATTTCTCCAAACATGAACCGCATCCGCAAGGTGCGATTTCACCAGGTAGATCGCACCCCCCAGGTGCGGTTTACGTGTCAATTATTTACCGACACCATGCAGAGAATTATGTACGTAGGGTTGCATGGCAGACTAAAACCGCACCCTAGAGGTGCGGTTTTCACAATTTTTTCCCCTATATAAGACTTGCCGGAAAACAGACTCTTCACACCTCTCATTCTCCCTCGCATTCTCTTTCATTTTTCTGTTGTATATCTATATTTATTTAGTGTGTTTGCCATTAAGATTAACTCGTAAGTTTATTTTGTGTTACTTTTTATGCCATTAACTCGTAAGTTTATTTTGTGTTACTTTTTATGCCATTAACATTAACTCGTAACTTTAATTTGTGTTACTTTTTATTGCATTAACATTAACTCGTAACTTTAATTTGTGTTACTTTTTATTGCATTAACATTAACTCGTAAGTTTATTTTGTGTTACTTTTTATTGTTATTTGTGATTTGTGATTTTTATGATATTAACTAAAACTATGGTTTGTTTGTGTGCAGATGGCATTCCGTCAGTTGTTGCTTGGCTTACGGTGGAATGGTTACACGGAAGACACCGGAAAGGGGGCCACCTACGTCGGTGGCAATTTTCAGAAAGTAACGGTCGGTACCAGACCGAAGCTTGAAGACCTCCATCGAATATGCACTGACGTTACTTGCATGGATGGCACGAGGAGGGTAGATCGTATGGTGTACCGATACCCAAACAGAGCAACTGGGTCATTGTGGCATGAGGAATATACCATAACCACTCAAGATGACGTAGATTCCATGCTCGAATTCTTGAGGTCCAACAATTTGGCCAAAGCCGAGATGTTCGTTTACACCGAGCCAGCCGTTAGTGTTGGAGGTCATTCTGGACACGGTCAAACATCTGGTATCCATGGTGGAGGTGAATTATATGACGATCATCCCTACCAAAGTTACCATGATCCTCATTCCTATTTTCAGTACCAAGATGGAGGGCAAGGTGCAGGCCATCATCAATCGTTCTCGTCATATGAAGAAGAAGTTCAACCGGACATCCCCAACCAAGCCCAGTACAACTTCGGGGGCGGTAGGGTAATTTTACCCCGTAGAAATCGCATCTCCCCGGTGCGATACCCACGCCAAATCGCATTCCCCAGATGCGATCCCCGCGTCCCGATGCGTTGAACGCGCAGAAAACTGACGCTCCAATTCTCCAGGCGAGAAATCGCACCTCACAAGTGCGATCCACACTCAGTCGCGCGGATTGCTGACGTGGCTATGCTGCAGCCCGTCAGATCGCATCTTAATCGTGCGATCCAGAAGGTCGCTGGCGACCAAACTTTGAACGCATCTTGGGGATGCGTTTTACCATAGAAATCGCATCTTAGGGGTGCGATTTATGAAGGAAACGCATTCTAAGGCTGCGTTTCATTTATAAATCGCACCTCTAAGGTGCGATTCATTAAAATAGGTGCTAGTTTTGTAATTAGTTTTGGAAGAGTGCTAGTTTTGTAATTTTTTTTTTTAAAGGTGCTATTTCTGGAAAAAACTCCAAAAAAGCAGCCGGGTAAATGAGCAGCAGGGCCATTACCAATCCATGGAGCTTTTGGGTAGTTTGATTCACATTAAAAAAAAAACAGACCGGCCAACTTCAATGCACACTTTGCATTGTTTGGTGAAAATCATAATATCTTCTTCTGAGACCAACAGTTGACTGAAATGAGCAGTGGAAAGCGGCTGTAAAAATTGGTAAACGAAACTATATGATAAGCTGTAACAAAGGGTGTAAGCCCATAGTTCAGCATTCTGCAATTGGAGATAGGTCGGTCAAGCAGCCGCAAATGGCTTTCCCTGGAGTCGTAACTGGCGACTAGTTTCCTCATCATCTTCAACCCCATCTTCAATTAGCTCGATCCAAGTCAAGCAAGATGGTCGAAGAGCTTCAATGCAGTAACAACCCATTCTGCCGGTCGAGAAGAAGATGAACCCCTCCTATAAAGATCGAGTCTTTGACACCTAATTCCCAAGAGAGGAATAGATCAAGCTTTGTTCGTATCTGGTACTGTATAAGTAGGTCTACCAAGAAAATTCAACATCAAAGACTGAGTGACGTTTTTTTCTACAGAGTAGGGCCATGAACGACGACACCTCCATAACCCACCAAAAAAAAAAAAAAAACTAGAGGAAGCATAGCCAAAAGACTTCCAACCAAGTCCCGCCATTGACTTGCTTCCACAATATCATCCATGGCCTGCAATTCACCACCACCCATTTCACTCCAATCCAGATGAAGCAAGCTTCAATCAACACTAAGAACAAAAGTAATACGATCTCCTTGCCTTGATTCTCTACCCGCCGGGAAAACGATGAAGAAACAGGGCATTTGCTCTGTTTTCCTTCTCCTCATCTTCACCCTGAATCCCTCCCCCACACTCTCCGCCGACGACTACACTCCCATCGACAGCATAGTCGTCGATTGCGGTTCCACAACCCCCGGCAGCAACACCGCCGACGACCGGAGCTGGGACGCCGACAACCCCTCGAAATTCCTCCAGCCCGGTTCGGAGTCGGCTTCTTCCACACCAACAGAGCCTTCCACAAGGCTCGAAAAAGTGCCTTACCTCTCCGCCCGATGGTCTCGCTCCAACTTCACCTACTCCTTCCCGGTCAACCCGGGCCAGAAATTCATCCGCCTCTACTTCTTCCCGGCGACATACTCCCCTGATTTCAACAAATCCGCCGCCTCCTTCTCCGTCGCCGCCGGCCAATTCGCCCTCCTCGACAGCTTCATCCCGGATCTCCACCCTCTATCGACAAAGGAGGACGGATTCCAGTTAGAGTTCTGCCTGAACGTGAACCCTAATCAGCAACGTCTCAACCTCACCTTCTCCCCAACCCCCGGCGCTTACGCTTTCGTCAACGGGATCGAAGTCGTCTCCATGCCCACAAATCTCTACTACTCCAACGCCGACGCTGGGCTCAACATCATCGGCAACGGCAATCAGCAGGGCAGCATCCGAAACGACACCGCGTTGCAGCTGATGTACAGAATTGACGTCGCCGGGCAAGGTATCTCTCCCGACGGCGGCACCGGGATGTATCGGCAATGGAGCCCCGACGATGAATACCTCAACATCGATCCTCCTCCGAGCTCTGTTTACTACAACGACTCGGTTCCCCTGAACTCCATTTACAGTAACGGCTCGATTCAGCTGCAGTACAGAAACGAGATCCATAAGCTCGTCGCGCCGGCGACGGTTTACAGAACTGCCCGGGGGATGTCGAACATCAGCGAATTGAACCTGCAGTACAATCTCACATGGAGTTTCCCCGTCGATCCTTCGTTTACATACTTTGTTCGGCTCCATTTCTGCGAGATCCAGCCACCCGTCAACGCCCGGGATAACAGGGCTTTCTGGATCTACATCGCAAATCGAACCACCGGGTCTTATACGGATGTGATTCAAGAAGCCGGCGGGAATGGATTCCCCATGTTCAAAGACTACTTGGTGAGAATTGAAGCTGAGGAAGAGAAGAAGCAATTGCCCTTGTTCGTTGCTCTGCGTCCTTTCCAGGAAAACAGCGCCTTCTACAATTCGATTCTGAACGGAGCTGAGATCTACAAATTGAGCCGGTCGGGTAGTTTGGCCGGACCGAATCCCGACCGCCCACCCAACCCATCGTCGCCGGATCCGTCTTCCTCCCCCTCGACTTCCAGCCCGACTAGATTAATCCTCATTGTCGCCGGCGGCGTCGTGTTAGGTCTCGCCGTGGTCTCTCTGCTGCTATTCTTCGTCTTCCGGCGGAAGCGAAATTCCAAATCCTCTTCGAGTTACATCGACGGCGGATCGGCTTCCAAATCGATGCTGCCGTATTCATCCTTCCCATCAACCAACGAGACATCCAAAGATGGCTCCTCGAATCTCCCCTCGGAGCTCTGCCGCCGATTCTCTCTCTCGGAGATCAAATCCGCAACGGGATTCTTCGACGACAACTTCATCATCGGGGTGGGAGGCTTCGGCGACGTGTACAAGGGGCTGATCAATTTCAACGGCGGCGGCGGCGCAACCACCGTGGCGATCAAGAGGCTGAAACAGGGGTCGCAGCAGGGAGCAAACGAGTTCCGAACAGAGATCGAGATGCTCTCCCAGCTCCGCCACCGCCACCTCGTCTCCCTGATCGGATACTGCTACGACGACGAGGAGATGATCCTCGTCTACGATTACATGTCTCACGGCACCCTCCGCGACCACCTCTACAGCAAATCTCAACAGATCTCCCCTTCCATTCCATGGAAACAGAGATTGGAGATCTGCATCGGGGCGGCACATGGTCTGCACTACCTACACTCGGGAGCCAGCAACACAATCATCCACCGCGATGTGAAGACCACCAACATCCTCCTCGACGAGAATTGGGTCGCGAAGGTGTCGGACTTCGGCCTCTCGAAGATCGGGCCCGCAGCCGGAGCGGCGAACGCCCATGTCAGCACGGTGGTGAAAGGGAGCTTCGGGTACCTGGACCCGGAATACTACCGGCTCCAACGGCTGACGGAGAAATCGGACGTCTACTCCTTTGGAATCGTCCTGTGGGAAGTCCTGACTGCGCGGCCGCCGGTGAATCGGGCGGGGGGGAACGACAAGAGGAAGATGGTGAGCTTGGCCGAGCTGGCGAGGCAGTGTTGCAAGAAGGGCAGAGTGGCGGAAATTGTGGACCGGGATCTGGACGGGGAGATTGCGCCGGAGTGTCTGAAGAAGTTCGCGGAGGTGGCGATGAGCTGCTTGGTGGAGAAAGGAGTAGACAGGCCGTCGATGGGGGATGTGGTTTGGGGGCTGGAGTTCGCCAAGGAGTTGCAATGCGGCAGCGAGGAGCGGGTGAAGTTGTTGGCGAGCGGCGGCGGTGGTGAAGGTGGCGGCGATGGGATTGAAGAGATGCGAGGCGGCGACTCTTCTTCGATGCAAGGGAGGAAGAGCAGTGGTGGTTCGAGTATGTTCACGACGAACAGTGAGATTGATTTGGGGTCGGGGGTGAACGGGATGATGGTTATTACGAGTGGCACTATGACGAGCGTTGAAGAGAGTTCAACCAATCATGAATACTCCGAAGATTCTTTGTTGGGGTCGAATCTTGTTTTCTCCGAAATTTTGGATCCAAAGGCTCGTTGAAATTTTGAGACCCACATTGTGTTTCGAAAATGTTGGTAAGTGATGAGTTTGAGCTCATAATTATTTGAAGAATAATAGTTTGGCCCACATTTTCCCGCGAATTATCGTAGTGTACCAATTACCATTCAAGAAAAATTAAAGTGAATGTCCATGAAATCAAAATGAACCTTAATTAAAAGTTCGTTAGCGTTCGAGATATCGCAATAATTTTGGGTTTAATACTTCAGTTAATTAGTTAAATGCATCCAAGTTCCAACCAGCGGCTTATATCGACAATAATTTTGAATTGGATAGTTGAATTAATTAGCGCAGCTAAATGGATTCAATCAGTGTTTTATACCAACGTTTGTAGTTTTTTATTTGGTAAAAATAATCAAACAGAAGAGCTGAGCGAGTTGTTGGAAATTATTAGTATGCATAGGTCATAGTCCTTAAAATTTGATGGTAACGTTTTGGTACCCGAATTTATTTATTTTTACAGTTTAGTACCTGAACTTTTAAAATTTATAAATAGGTCTGATGTGTTTGTATGTGGAATTCATATCTAAGGGCCATAGGGTCAAAAAATGACTTGACCCTAAACTGACCCGACCCGCCTATTTCTTATAGGGTCAAAAGGTGACCCGACCCCAAACTGACCCTATAGACAGGGTCAGGGCAGGTCAGTGGGTTTTTAGGGTCAAGTTTACACCCCTATTAGGTAACTAACAATATTTGTGGATTGGATACATTTAGGGTTAATACCTTAGTTTGGCTCAAACTATACACAAACTTTCTACTTTGACCCGTGATTTCGAAAATCGCTCTTCTGGTCTGAACTATGTACCATACTTTCATATTGCGCTTCTGGTTGATTTTGGTCTCCATCGATGAGAACACAATGTTTGTTCAATGGGGGTTGAGGGAAAGGGAAGAGATACGAGGGGTTCTGAAAATTATTTTATTTGATTTTTAGTAATAATTAATTATAATTCATATATATCTATGTGGCCCAATCAAATGTTTGATTGTTTGCCACATCATCAGTAGTTTGCCACATCAAAGTCAACTAACAGTTGACCGGACTGAAAGTTAACGGTTTGGCTATTAAATTGTTTTTAGAAAGATTTGACTATTATTTTGTTTAAAGTAAAAAGGTTTGGTTATTATATTGTATTTACCCAAATTTAAACTACCATTCTTTAAAATAGCTCACTTATGCCTGTATAATTAACATATGGTTCAAAAAGGCACGCTCAACCTTACGTTTAGGCACGCCTAGACACAAGGCAATGACAAAACGCCTCACCTAGAGGTTTCGCGCCTAATTAGATACTAGAACATGTCAATAGAGTAAGTCGACATAAAGTCTCTCCTAAACATTATTAGATGGAGTTAGAAAGTCAATATTAAAGGAGAAAATTAACATCAACTACGGAATCAATTTTCTATATCAATATTTTCAATAGCTCAAGAACTTTGCGAGCTATTGAGCCATGATTCTATGAATTCGTAAGCTATTTTTTTGTCAGTAAGTGTTGAATAAGTTATTAATCATTTTAGCTTAAGTGAGGAAGTGTTGTAGATTATTATTTCATTCATCATGCAATATAAATAGCTATTTTTCTTCCAACGGCTAGGTACGCTTAGTCTACGTCTAAACGAGCAAGGCGCTAAGCAAAGTCGCAACACTCGCTTACACCTAGCGCCTTTTTGAACCTTGATAATTAACGAGAGAAAGACAAAGGGAGGGTCACGAGCTGAGCTTTCCAGCAGCAGGTGGAAATTTGGAAATTTGGAATAATAATTGATACAGAGTGGGTTAACACTACCGCCAAACACACTAGAGCCCCACCTCCACCACACTAATAATGAGACCGGACCACTGCTGGATGGTAAGCATATCCATCTCTCTTCTCTTCCCTTCCAAACCCCATGAGCAAGACGAATCCTTCCGCAGTTTGGTTGGCGGCTGCAGCAGCCCTAGCCGTCGTTCTCTGCGCTACCAACTTCCTTCCGCAATGCGGAGCTAGCACCATCGATGCTCTGGTTACCACCCAGTTACTGGCTTCGGCAGCATCTGCTGGCATGGCCGACGCCATTGACGACGATGAGTTCCTGACGGAGTCAGGGAGCAGCAGCCAGTCGCTGAGGATGTTGCAGGCGGGAAGCCAGAACGTGTATAAATCCATCACCCGTAACCAGCCGGCTTACAAATGCGGCCAGAATCAGTACTACTGCCTCGACAACGGCCGAGATCGGAAGCTGTACTGTGATCCCAAAAGCCGCGATCCCGCTTGCCACCGCTGAATCCGTTTTTTTCCCCCCTGGTTTACCTGCATTTCGTTAATCACTACTGTCAAGTAATTGCTCCGGCTGCTCTGTTCCTCCCCTGTTTTCTTGTGGTCTTTATTTTACTTCCTTTTTTTTTTGTGTGTTTTATTTCATTTTGATCCATCTCTCAGCCAGTACATATATCTGTAATCAATCTGAGGTAGATGTTGTTGCTATAATTGTTTGAACCATAATTGGGTGACCAACCTAAGTCTGAGAGGTATGATTCCTTCATGTTGTCCCCATGAATATGAACAGCTCTAAATGCCTTGGCATGTTCCCTTGTATGTGTTAGCTTCCTTGCACCTTCCATCATGTTTATCTCTATGAGCATGTACCCTACTGTGTCACTGTGAAGGGTGAATAGAGAGCTACACAAAGCTTTTTCACTCGTGATTGATGGTAAATTTGATTCAATTGGCAATCTCTTTCTGAAATGAAAGACGATAATTACTACGACGTTAATCCGCACATTAAAGAGGGATGAAGAGGTTTTTGGGTGAGCAACTCAATTTGACTACGCCAACAACCGATTGGGCCACTCCCTAAAAAGAGATAACCAAAGATGATAGACTGATAGTGATCCTACCAAAAATAATCAGAGCAGCTAACTAATGATCATGCTAGTAATCTGACTACCTCTGCAAAAGCATTCTGTAATCACACGGGGAAGGCAAATCGTCGTGGCTTGAAACACTCAAATTTATCCTCAAGGCTGGTCATCACCTGCATTAGCAACCAGAACCAAAGAAGATTTGAAGTTGAAGAATGGACTACTGAGTACCGTCTAAAGAACGGAAGAGATGGAGCATATATGCAAAGCAATTAATCAGGTAATGCTTACTGTATTGTAGGAGAGTCGTTATATAATGGTGGTATCAGCCGGATAACTCCCTAAAACTCGCAAGGATGTCGCTAACTCCTGGCAAACGGGAGATATGCACGTTTCATGGTAAGTTCAGCATGCAATGAAGAAGAAGAATTACTTAGCAATGGAAAAGTCTGAAGAAGCAAGCCGCACATCCAGAGCTTTTAGAGCGTTTTGAGCATTGTCACTAGCCATCGAAGCCTCAAAATCGACATAGAACATGTAGTGAAAGCATCTGCAAAACCATACTACTAGTATCTTAGTTTACTGCACAAGATGAAGAGTGAATTGAGGGGCAATAAATGAAATGAAAAACAGCTATTTGTCAATAACTTACTTCTGAAGTCCATTGGCTTTCTCTCCTGGAGATCTCAGAGAACTCCGCCTCCAAGGGCGGCTCTCGATCTTGTTCAAAAAAGTATAAAGAGACAAAAATCCATGAACATGCAAATAGCGTAAGGAAATTTTGGGGGTGGAATGTTAGGCAAAAGGGAAACTTACTTTTGTTAGGTTGATTTGCTCCTTTGCGAAAATTTGAAGAGCCTTGTAAAGTATTCCAGGGCCTTCCTCAAGTGAAAAGACTATGCTTGTCTGAAAACCCAAAGAGTTTTCGATGGGTAACACAGCTCTGTCGACAGTGCAGCCTTCAACAGCCTATGAAGATTCACAGAAAAAAGCAGTACACAATCACAACTCGCAGAGATAGCACGGCCCGGCTTGTGATGGAGTTTAAACTATAAATCACAAATCTTTAGAACAATTTCAAGCTAAATGGTTCAACCACAATTCAATGTAGAACTACAAAACTGAAATCCAGTTAACATTGGCGCACCACTAAAAACTGAACTCCAGCTCCTAACCATAGCAAATGAAGTGTTGCTCTACCTATAACAGTGACCAAAGAAAGCCTAGATCATTTGAGGTCCTCAATATTAAGTCAGAGCATTCAGTGGTCTGATAAGTTCCAAGTTTCTCTCTTCACACACTTCACAGAACAATCAAAGAGAAACGGCAAATCCCAGTAGAGGAAACAGCAGGAAGAAGATAAATTTTTACTTCAAATGCAGTTTCGAATTGATCGCAAGGCACTGCCTCGGAGTTGGGATATGCCTTCTGGGCGGCAGCTTCGCTATACGCCCCACTAACCCCCTGCCATGACAATTTCCATTTCAGTAAAACAGGAAATCAATTTTCGAGAAAATGCCCTTTATCACTAATTGATACCGAAATGCAGAAAGCAGCAGCTGACCTGATAAGCAACGCGGAGGCGAGGTTCACCGGACCCCGAATCATGCATTCGCGCCGACGCCATCAAAGGCCCTGTGCATGAGCGCCTTCTTACGCAAATCAATGGCTACGGCGATTGATCGGAGCGCGAGGGTTTAGCAAAGATTTGGCCGCGGAGTGGGGAAATTAAGGATCGTGTCAGAGAAGCGACCATCCAATGCGTTATAAATGTTGGTAGTGTGAACAATATTCTACTGTACAATAAAGAATAAACCAAGGTTGTGAACCTGCGGGTTGACCCACGGGTCGACTCATTTTGACCCTGATCCGGTGAGAAAAACGGGCCGCACGCACCCGCCGGGTCGACCGCTACAAGGTACCGGGTTGAAAGTCAAATTGTGTCATTTTTTTCTTTGGTTTGCGAAATGCGGTTATTTTCCGATTTTTCTTTTCGCCTAACTCAATCTTTGAAATCCTAAGTTGAATATTTGAATATTGATGTTGTATAAGTGTGTGTGAATTTTCACTTTATGCTGGATCTAAGTACGATATGTTATTTTGGTGTAATATTATATGTTATAACTCGGGCAGTTCTACGGTGCCCAGGGCAAAATCCGGGGTACGGGTAACCGGGGGCAAGGAAAATTACCAAATGCATCACGAAGCGTTTATGGTGACTTCTACGGACTTCAACCTAACTGTACCCGGTTTAATGATAGCGATTAAGAGGTTAAACCCTATGGATACGACCCGCCGCCCTAACCAATTTCCAGTCTCCCTTCTACGATCCCTCATTCGCCTTGGAGGGTCCCCTCTAACTCTAAGTTCGAAGTTCGATCATAAGCTGCCTATCAAATCTGAAATCTCCAACAAAATCATCGTTTCGAAACCCAAATCCTTTTATTATTTGATCCACATTCGATTTAGCTCCCTATCCAATCTCAAATCCCCAACATCATCATGTTTCATACGCCAAATCTATGTATCCACATTCGAAGAGAAGATCTCCATCCAATATGAAATCCTCACATAATCATCGTTTAGAACCCCAAATCCTTTTATCCACAAATCGACGTTTTGTTCATCGCCATTTTATTTCCGTGCGGAATTTACTCGCCTTACTCTTTCTAACACGATTACGGCGACCATGTCTATTATTGTGTTCATCAAACTTTTCGTTTGCAAAAGAACCCTTGAAAGAGATTTGCTAACCCTAGGGTTCATGTCGCTAGTGCTTTGTCATCTTGTCTTAGCGTTATTGTCATTTTCTCGAAACTTCTATCACTCGGTGAAATTAAGGTTTCCTGATATGCAGTGTTCGTCTCGCCCAGAGGATTGAGGAAGGAGATGAAGAAGACCTAATTTGATTCGAATCAGATGGAGAGGTCTCCTTAATTTGTGTTTATGTATTAACGCTGCGTTTAGGACTAATTCTAGTTGGACTGGGTCTGATCATTGATTTTTGCAGGCTTTTAAATAACATTCAAACGTGGGCTTGTACATGGACCCATGACACCTAGTTTGTTGATAATAGATACTGAGTTCCGGATTGTCATTAGGTTGGGCCTTTGATAATTGTCTATCTCAGACTCTCAGTGGCGATTCTTTGTTTTACTTATTTTCATCTGCTTCTGCTTCTAAAATCCTGATCATTCATTGAGTTCACGCAATTTAAACATAATTCTGTGTTCCATCTTTTTTGGAATTTGGTAAATGTTAGCGTGTCTCTTTACACATTTAGCGGTACGAGGTAAACTACAATCCGCCCAATTTAACTCTTCATTAATTGAGATCCCATTCCACTCTCTCACCGATTTCCCCTCTTTATGCAATGCACTCGTACATAACAAACCTCTTGTAGACTAATTAGAGGCTTGTGGTTGGATACTGAGTGAGGATATTTTTTGAATTTATGTTTTGAAACGAAAGTTAGAGTTTCACTTTTGAAGTACCTATGTACTTTAGTTGGGCAAGTATTTTCAAAATGTAAAATTTTATCAGCGTATAGGTATACGATTGTTGTATAAGGTGTTGATGTTAGAGGAAATGGGTACTGACTGCTTAGGGTATTAGGTTGTTGATGGTATAGAGTATATGGTATATGGGTAGGTTATAAGGTGTTGATGGTTTAGAGCATATGGTATCGATTGGTTAAAGGGTGAGGGTAGGTGTTGTCTTATTTTTTCTCGATTATATATTTTCTTTATATTTGCTTATAAATGCTGATCATGCCTTATTACTAAGACATAATTCGTTATATCTGCTTATAAATGCTTTATATCTGCTTATAAATGCTGATAATTTATTGTTTGATTTGAACCTGCGTGTTTTTGCTCCGAATGATTTTGTAGTGGCGTGGTAAAGACAATCCGTCCAATTTAACTCTTCATTAATTCCCCCTTTTCTTTTCTGTTTTGGTAGAATAATTACCCCTTTTCCACTCTCTCAGTCCCCGCTGAAGTTGAAACAATCACCTGTGATATATTTATCGATCATTTTAACCCTTCACTCAATAAGAAAGCGAAATTATGCAAGATGGTCATCAATGTGATGTAGCTTAATTGTCTCTTATTTGCTTAGTCAATAAAGTAGAGGTTTGTGGTTCGATACTTAGTGAGGTATCAATTTTTAATTTATGTTTTGAAAAGCAAGTTATAATTTTAATTTATCAGCGTATAGGTATACGATATTGTATAAGGTGTTGATGGTTTAGAGTACATGATATTGGGTTAGTGTATTGATCATCTCCATCCCTAAAATAAGATATTGTATAAGGTTTTGATGGTTTAGAGTATATGGTATTGGGTTAGTGTATTGATCATCTTCATCCCTAAAATTGAACAACAATTTCTAAACGAGGTCCCTACCGCCACATCATCAATTTTAGCAATTCATCACTTAACAATTTCTATTCATCTACATCCCTACATTATGCTAGTAATTGCCAAGGTGGGTTCCATTTTATATTTCAAAGGAAACACTTATTATAAATTGAAAGTTGGGGATGGAGATAGAAGAAGGTGTTGTTGGTATACAGTATAAGGTCTTGAAGGTTATGGACGTATAAGGGAAGGAGCAAGGTGTTGATGGTTTAAAGTATATATGTTATTGATTGGTTACGGTATAAGCCTATAAGGTGTTCTTATTGTTGTAGAGTATATGATATTGATTGGTTCGTGTATTAGGGTTTGGTTTAGGGTTTAGGGTTTAGGGTTTCAAGTTAGAATAACATAAACCAGATCAATAGAGTAATGTTGGTAAACGAAAAAGTTAGTTAATCTACAAATTCAGACTATTTAAAAAAGTACATCCCCATTTCCCACCGTCAATTCCTAAACTTTTCCCTTGATCCGATGGTGAAATACCTTCGATCCTCGTCGCGTGCGTGTCACCCAATCAGATATTGCCGAATTCGGAAAGTCGCTTTTGCCCATAACCAATGCTGGCGTTACCAAGGCCGAGGCAGTGGTAGGGACTGTAATTTTCAGTAAATGTGAAGGGAGGGAAAGTAAAAGTAATTACGAGTCAATCTTTAAATTCGTTAATAGGCCGTGCTCCGATCCTTGAAAAGAACCCTTTCTTCCATCTTCTCAATATGAGACTCCGAAAACCATCTCCTGCTGCTGTTCGTTCCTCCTCCTCTCAATCCCTGAAAAGAACCCTTTCTTCCATCTTCTCAATATGAAACCCCGAAAATCAACTCCATCCGCCTCTCGTCCTCCTATCCCATGCTTTATTTTCGGGTGCAGTGGTAATGATGAGACTGCGTATTATTTTAGATCTCATTTCCTTTCATTATGTCATTGTTAGATCGTGACTGTTAAACTAAATCCTTCGTTGTATTGTTTCTCCTTTTCTCTCCATGCAGGGTCTTTGTTAGAGGCAGGGAGGGGAGCAATGACAATAAGTCGCCGTCTGAATATAGCCAGAAGAATCATCACATGTTGTTGCGATTCCATAATAGGTGTTGTGGAACCCTACTTCATGTGGTGATTCTTCTGCGCCATATTGACGCGTACTTGTTGATCATGCTCCCAAAATGTATACAAGATAGGAAAGTTGCCATATGTATAATAGGATAAAATAGGGAGGGAAAGTACAGCTTTTTGTTTTTGTTGGACTCTATGTAACATTTGTTTATATTTGTATACTGTTTTGTTATTTTTTCTTCTGCTTCTCTCTTCGCTTCCATGGCGGCTTCCAAAAGTGTTTGAGATCTTCTAAATCTGCGAGGGATCCTCCACTCCCGATAAAAATACTGTACTTTGTACTATTAAGCGTTTGAGATCTTCTAAATCTGCAGGGGATCCTACACTCCCAATAAAAATATTGTACTTTGTACTATTAGCGTTTGAGATCTTCTAAATCTGCAGGGGATCCTACACTCCCAATAAAAATACTGTACTTTATTTGTTGACTACTGACTCCATTTTTAGAAGTCGTTATGATTGGGCCAACCGGATTTTTTGCCGGATTTCGAACTCTGCTCCTCTATAGCCACATGCTCTACACATTTAATGAGTGCTCAAAATTAGTGCAAAAAATACGATGTAATAATTGAATAAAAAAACTAGTTCTCAAGATTATTCAACTGAAATGTTGCACATGATTTATTTAGGGTCGTTTGGATGTGGAAATTTTAAAACGTTGAAATTTGTCTGAATTTCCATGTTTTACAAAACCAAGGAATTGACTTGTGGAAATTGAAAAAAAAACTCACGTTTGGATAAGGTTTAGTTTGTGAGAATTGATGGTATGGAATTTGGAAAAAGAAGTAAGAAAACGTGGTAATGTCAAATTACTAGGGGGAGGTGTAGTATTCTCAATTACCATCAAGTGCTTACAAATTGCCATCAAGTGACCATTAATGAGTGCATAAATTAAACGACACCGCAAGAGCCAACAGTCTTCTTATATACCAAACGACTCGGCATAGGAGGACTTCCAGTTTCAGTTCAAGTTTCCAACACCGAGCAAATATATGGTCCCAAATGCCACTTTAGCAACTTTAATCGTTTGGAAGTTGTGATTCTTCAAATTGATGTATTAGGCCAATTAGTGTATTATCATTTGATGTATTGATTCAATGCATGTATTAGGAAAATACTTTGTTTGGAAGGGCAACGATGAAACAAAAAGTAGGGTAGACAATCCTTCATTAACAATCTCACCTTTTAGTAGAGATTTATAATCATTCATTTTGAGTGATTGTTGGTGGGCCCAACAAAAAGG